CAGGTCTGTTGGTTGTGCTACTTGGCAAGTGCCCAACGAAGGGCTAGGCTGGACAGGACAGAGCGTGCTGTAAAGGAGCTGCTCTGATGAGTAAGTAGAGCTGACTGAAAAGTCATCCCCAGGCTCACAATGACTTAATTAAGTGTTTATTAGGATAAAACATTGCCAGAAGCTGTTCAGGTGCCTCTTTGCTTTCATAGCTGTACTTCTAAAAAGGCTTTCTCTCCTTTCTTTATGAAATATTTTCTGGAGAAGGCTGCGTGGTTCCTTTCTGACTATTTTACGCTGAAAATTTTTCATTGAAAACTGGTGGGTGGTGCAGGTTCAACCACCTTCTACCTGGTGGTGCAGCACTTTGGGTGAGTAGCTCCCCAGCCCAGCAGCCCCTTGGCATCGTGGGGGGGAGTTGTGGCAAAGTGTCAGATGATTCGTGTTACCACCTTGCTTTGGCATAGTCCATAAACCAGTAACATTCTCCCTTTTGTGTCCTCAAAGCCGTTTGTTTGGTGTTGGTGCTTGCAGTTAATGAAGAGAACTGGGCAGGGTAACAGCCGAGGAGGCATTCACTATTTGTTTGCCATCTGTAAGTTTTATGTGGTTCCCCAATTTTGCAGCACAACGAGAATTTGGTACAAGCCATGCAGTGTTCTCCTCGTGCACGAGGAGCTCAGCTGCTGAGCAAGTCTGGGAGCATGGGAACTGCTTCAGTTTCGTAGTTACTGCTGTTCAGAAACTGGGTCTTCTGAGGGGAATGTCTGTGCTTTTTGTGCAGAAGGCTTTAAATAGTTTTGATGATGTGCCTTGTGCAATTTCTACAAAATCTTTCCTGCCTGAGAGGAAAAACTGGTACAAGTAGTAATTTCTGTACAAGTTGCTTAAGTCTTCCACTTACATTGACTGCCTTCCCAGTGAGCAGTGAATTACAGACAGCACATCACTGCTGGCCTTAAGGTTGCTGCTTCACTTCAGAGGTGAAGGGGCTAAACTTGGAACAGCAGCTTTACTTTATCACAGCTGTGGTGCTGAGGGTTTCTCATAGCTTAATAACTCCTTCATAGCTTTGTCCCAGATCTTGTCCAGAAGAAAACCACTGTGTAGTACAGAGGACTGGTGATGAACCTGGTGTGCAGATAAAATACAACTCAGCTTTGTTACCTCTGCCAAGTTGGCTCCTGTCTTCTGCTCTCCTGGACCCTGCTTCTCACTTAACCACATTTGGTGTCTTTTAATACCCAATCTGTTTCCAAAAGGTTGTTTCACAGAGCATTGAAGCTCCAGTGAGCTCTGGCAAACCAGGTTTTATGAAGTATTTCAAAGCCCAGGTTATGCTTGAGAGCCACTGAGCTGTCAGCAGGGAAAATCAGTAGTGGATGGTAGCATGACTCTGCTGAGATGCTGAGCACAGTCCATTGTCATGAAAGTGGTCTTGAACCTCTAATTGCCCTTTGCATACACAATATTTCTACCTCTTGTGCTTCTGAAGCTTCTCAGAGTGGGGCCTGCTGTTAGCATCCTGCAGGAGGAATCCTCTCTCCTTACAGACTGGGCAGTATCCAGAGGTGATCTTTCCCTGAAATGTGATGCTTTTAGGAGGGATGGTGTATGGCTCTATCTAGGCAGGATGGACCCAGATGGAGCAGCCCTGTGTAATACAGGGGACATCCAGGGAGCTGTTGCTTTTTTTGTCCCTGTAGCACATCACAGGCACCAAAATCAGCATCTCCCCAAAGTACAGTGTTAAGCTTCACAGGTAGTTATTATTACCAAACAATATTATTATCCAAACAGCTGTTTGGACTTTCTTATGAACTTCTTGCCTTTCCTCCCAAGGTTTTATTTACTGTTTGGTCCTCAGAGTGAGAGCTTGGTTGTCTGTTTGTCTATTATGGGTTAGATTTATTTTTTTGCTAGGGTGCTGTGCTGGATACCAGAGGTGTGTCTGGTAGGGCTTTGCAGCAGGTGATGCTGAGAGTGTATATAGTGTACTGTGCCCTCATCCACACAGGGACTGTCCCTAGGGCTGTGACTGGCAGGAGGACAAGGCTTTTCTCTCCACCAGTGTGCTCTTTTCCCAGTCATCTCCTGATAGCAATCTCCTGCACTTCCTTCTGCCCTGCCTGCTTGACCTTCTGGCTCTACAAGAGTCATAGAATCGTTAAGGTTGGAAAAGACCTCGTAAGATCATCAAGTTCAACCATCACCCAACACCACCATGACCACTAAACCATGTCCCCAGGTGCACATCTACATGTTTTTTTAACACTTCAGGGATGATGACTCCACCACCTCCCTGGGCAGCCTCTTCTAATCATCTTCTTGGCCACGTTCTTCAGCTGTTCCAGCCCTTGCTATGGGAAATGGCATTCCCTTTCCCTAGTCTTACCAACTCATACTTACTGCTTGTGGTTAGTAGCCCAAACCAAGGCTCTCCATGGTCTTAGAAGTGGAAGGATGTACCTGATGAGAATCTCTTCTGCCCATATTGCCTATCCATGGGGGTGGCTGATAGCAGAGAGCTGCTGATAAGAGAAAGTGATGGAAGTGAGAAGATTTTTAACCACCCAGCACTTTAGCTACATGCTGCTTTATCCCCTAAAAATAGTTGCTAAGTCAGCCTTCTGCAGTAACCTCATGCACAGGCTAAAGGATTGCTAATATTAGTTGTTGGCTTTGCTGATAAAATTAACTATGTGAAAACTGGCTGCAACTGCTGAATTTTGTTCCCCTCCTGTGCAGTTAACATTCCTTAGCCTCTGTGGTGAGATTGCAAAGGGAGGAGGAGGAGCAGAGAATGTCTTCTCACTCTTTTCTGTGTCATTGTCCTGTCTCCTGAAAAGGCTCAGCAAAAAAGCACATCATGCTTCCTTGCCCCATTCTCATTGTGAGTGCTAGTCTGAAAGCAGAAGTGCACTTCTGCAGGACATCAGGGCACTGCTGAATCAAAACGTGTCCAAGCCAACTGAAGGAGAATTTTAATTTATTTTTTTAGAGTTAGTGGCTTCAGGATAACTCAGTGTTACTCTAGTTCAGGCTTTAAGAAACAGTGTAGCTTGAGGGCTTTCAGAGGATCTGTTTGCCACCAAAATCTAGAAAGGCTCAGTTCAGGTTTTTTATATTGTCTGATGAAACATCTGCTCAGTGTGTCAAATTCAATTTTTTTGGTTTGTTTTGAACTTCAGCATAGGTAAAGATCTCCAATCCATTTTTATCTGGGATGACTGATTTTTTTTCTTCTTAAAATTCTGATTTTATTGAAATATCCAGTGCATGTTTGACATCTGGTTTAATTTTAGAAAATAGTCCTGGGAGAAACGTTGTCAGTAAGGAGGAGTGCTGAGGTTCTGACAGACAGCATGGTCTCAGCATTGGGATGTACTACAGGCTTGAAGAAGGTCTTTCCAAGTGCGTGCATCTGCTTTGCTGGAGCTCAGAAAACTTGATTTATTGATATCTCCACCAGCAAAATGGAGAGGTGCCCAGAAATCTGCTTGAGGTTAGGGAGCAATCCAGCTTTAACACAAGGTTTTTATAATTCTTGTACCTACAAAACCATAGTTAGCAAAGCCTGTTGCTGAAGCAGTCAGCCTCAAACCGTGCATAGGAGATCACAGGCTCATGGCATGCTGTGTCCCAGTTCTTGGTCACGTTTGGCCTCTCTCTGATGATATGGTTGTCTTCACATCATGCTTAGGTGTCTGCCTGCCTTGGAGTAACCTCTGAAAGGTGTCCCTGGAGCAGGGGCTGCAGGCAGCCTTTGCTTACTCAGCAGAGCAGAAGTAGTCGTGGGGGGGGGGCTTGGCCTGTCCTGGTGTTCACCTGCATTTTGTTACCTGGAATTTCTTCAAATATATGGAGGGAGTTTTTACACAGTTATTATTTCCTGGTCCTTATCTCTTAAAGGAAGGGAATAAATAATTAGTTATTGTATTTGTTTAAGCAGAAAAAGGAACAAAGAAGTTCCTAGACTCTGGTTCAGTGGAAGAGACCATGCCAACATCTTTTCAAGGCACGGAGATGCTGGGGTGCATGATGCCAGGGACTCTCCCATCCTGTCTTATCATATTCATCAACCATCCTGTTGACTGTAGAATTGTTTCTGGCTTTCCTCAAAGCCTGTATGACTATGTTATCCATCCTGAGAAAAGCAGGAACCCTTAACTATGCAACAGGATGGCTTGATTGCAAAATCTGCAGTGTCTTGCTTTTTCCATGAGCCACAGCATCTCTAAGAAAACTACTGGAAGATGTGCTTAAAGCACCAGCTGTTCTGCAGAACTTGAGAGAACTCTTTATTGCCCATTTCCACAAACCCCTCTCCTCATGTGACTTCAGAAGGGGCAAAAGCAAGACACTAAGTGATGTCTGAATTCAGCAGCATTACAATTTTGCTTTTAATTTAGAAGTCTTTTAGAGTTAATTATCATACAACTCATAGGCAATAGTTTCATGATTTCTTAATCTGTTATGTACGCTAATTTGCTTTTACCTAACTGCTGGAGAGAGAGATTTGTCTCTGCAGGGCATCAGCTGTGCCTGAAGCACAAAGCACAGGGTTAACAGAGTCCATAATTAGAGCGATGCGTGGGCTTGCTGTATTAATCGCCGTTTAGAAACGTGGATCTCATCTTGACTTCCAAATCAAAAATACAGCCATAGGTTAATCCCCTCTGCCTGCTCAGGTTCCACCTCTGCAGGCAGAGTGGCACCAGGTGTATGTTCAGCTTTTCAGTGTTTCTCTGTTCATGTTGTTCTCAGTTACACTCCGAATATTTGCTGTATTTACGTGGCAGGGAAGTTCTTCACCAAGAGAATAATTCAGTCTAAATTGCCTCCTTGCAGAAGAGCAGCGCATGCATCCAGTGCTTGGAGCCTCCCTTGTTCCACTGCCTTTCTCTGTTTTTAAAGCCAATACAGAGTTTTCCTTACGTGCTGTTTGTCTCTCCCTTTTGCAGCATCAGCGAAAGCTTCCTCACTGTGAAAGGTGCAGCTCTCTTCCTGCCACGAGGAAATGGGTCTTCTACTCCCAGGATCAGCCACAGGCGCAACAAGCATGCAGGTAACATGCTGCCTCCAACAGCTGAGGCTTGTCTGCTCACTCCTGTTTCCTAGTCTGCCTCTTTTGAGCTTGTTCTCACCAGATGACACACATTTCTGTTTACACCATGTGTGTTTTAAAGCCAGACCTGCCAGTCTCAAGACTGTGATATCTAATGCTGATAGAAAAAAAGGTTTCAGTACTCTCTTATTTATTCCAAACAAACGTGTGACAGGAGGGCAGCAATCATAACATCACAGAGCTGAGAACGGCTGTCCCCCAAAACTTCATCCTGTAATTTTTGTGTGAGAGCAAGACTGAAGGATTGCCATCAAACTTCATGCACTGCACGAGAAACTTGAGATTATGATACAAGATGAGTAATTGTCCTTCCTGGTCTCAAAGTACCTGGTTATGATGGAAGAAAGGGAGGAGACTAACCTCTGTGTGGTGGTGAAGGAACCTCTGAGTGAAGTCAGTGTGACTTCTCAGATGTGTAAGCAGAGTGAATAATACAGTCAGTCATAATTCCACCCCCTTTATCTGCTGAAAGTCTGATCTATGTTTTTGCTTTGACTCTTTGTTTGAAAAGTCAGCCTGAATAATGAAACTCAAACATTTCAGAGTAGGTTGGTTTTCACTTTGTGTATGGTGCTTATTCACTGATGAAGGGGGTCAGATAGTGTGGGGTTTTCCCTTCCATTAAATAGTCAGAAGGAAAAGAGCAACACTGAGACCTGTAGACTTTTGCCTATGGGACAGAGACAGAAACACAGAGGCTGGAGTCAACTCTACTAAAAAGTGACGGCCAAAAGGTGATTTGGTTTGGTTCCAGGTGTACATATCTTTATGCTTTGATACCATCAGACTGTCATTCACCTCTACATCCGGCAGAGTTACCTGGCTGATGACTGGTCCACCTCAAAATCTGTTTAAAAACATCATTATAGAAAGAGTTGAAGTCAAAAGGCAGTTAATTACACACTTCCACTCTTCGTACAAGCAGTTACACTCAAATTGCTCTAAGTGAGATGCATTAATTACCAGTTGTCAAAAGAAAATAAATTATTCTGAAAATTTACATCTGGCCTTGAAGGCTGAGGTGAAATGGTGTTCAGTGAGCAAATAAAGTTAGCAGTCTCTTAAAAGTATATCTTGACCTGTCTTGGTTTTTAATCTGTCCAAAGTCCTCTCCATAGCAGAAGTCCAGGTCAGTTGCTGTCTTGGCTTTACCTTGCAGAAGAGACCTGCTGGGTGATTTTCTTGTGAACTTGGGCAAAGTATCACCAGCAGCTTTTGAGTGTTGTTGCCTCATCTATTTGCTACAGCTGACTTGTGAGGTCTGGAGACTTTGGTAGGAAACAATTGCTTGTTTAATCAGCCCAGAGCTCTTAGAAGCCAGATTCCCAAGAAAGCAAATTCAGTGTGTTATGATCGCTTACAGCAAGATGTTTTGTATTGAAGAGGCTGGCTTGCCTAAGGGGTGGGATTTTTGCCCTTGGAAGACTCTTTATTCCTGTGTCCTCAACGTAGGAGGTGAGATTGAGTGAGGCATCAGTACTTGTCCTTTCCTCAGTTTCCCTGCTTGGCAAGTGATGTGAATGGTGCAGTATTTTTCCTTTCACGGTGCCTGGAGATTTCACTACATAGATTTCTCCTTTGTATGAGAGTGTGCATCATCTTCCTTTTCTGTGAACTTTTCTAATGTACAGTGTATGCCAGCAGATCAAGACAGCAGGGATCATCTGTGCCCCCAAAATTCAAAGGGTGATTTACGGCAGGGCAAACCGGCCGTCGGCAGGCAGCTAGCAGAGTGTGTGACAACTCTCTCCTTTCTTGGGCTCCCGTAATCCAAACTCAGCTGCCATTCCCATGTCTGTGTTGGGGCTTATCTCTGGCACACGAGATTGGGGAGGGTAGAGAGCAGGCGTAACTCTGCAGTATGAGATTGCTGCCTGTGGGTGCAGCAGTGTTTCTAGTGGCTACCAGAGTGTTTTCTAGGAAGGCTGACTAACCTTCTCGACCTACCTTTTGAATTCAGCAGAGGTGCTAGAGACCAGCCCAAAGAGTAAATGCGTAACAGGAGGTAATTAGTGCTCACACCCATGTCTTTAATGGTATCATCTCCAGCAGTGGGAATCACTGGCTGGCAGATGGATGAGATACAGACCCTGCTCGGCTCCCTGGGCGGCCTGTGCCCCGTGCCACCTGGCAAGTGGGCTGGTGGGCTTGCTCCTGCACTCCCAGCGACTCTGCAGGGGGCCAGAAAAGGATGCAGCTTCCCCGGGGCTTTTGCCATCTCTGGGATACTGTAAATCACTTTCAGGATCCCACCCTAGCTGGCGTTTGCACCTAGCCTGCCAGCTCGAAGGAAACAAAAGCATCTGCTCGTTGCTGCACAATGTGATAGGAAGCAGCAGTCGTGCCATGAATGCCAGCAGAGCCAACAGCTCTTCACAGGACAGGATGTGATATCTTTGTGCTGGTTCTGGCACGCTAAAACCTTTCCTTTGCTTTTTCTTTATCCAGGAAGCTTACAAAATGCCTTGTCTGTTTGGGGCTAAAAAAGCTGCAAGTCGATTAAAGCTGGCCAAGGAAGCAATACTTTACTTTCTAGCTCTGGAGCTCCCAAGGCTGGCAGGGCAGGCTGGGGAACAGGGAATGAACTTTCTGAGAATGTGGGAAAATGGAGCTCCTTCACCAGCCTTCAGAAAGGGGTGTCTTAGGCACTTCCTTTCTTCTTTTTTGTTTTGAGATATTCTAATAGTCTGATTGTTGGTTTATTTGGTGTTTTGTTTTGTTTTTTTTCAAACTCTGGAAACTTCAGCTCTTAAACTGGTTACTGATAGTGAATTAGTGGCAGCAGTAGGTGGGAACTGTTACATTGTGGGGAGGGAAAAACAAGGTGAAGCATCACTGCCTAAGACCTGCATACTTGCTGAGCTCTTCCAGGCTGCAGGCAGGAGGTGCTACCTGAAGGAGAAGGACCTTGGCCTGTGGAGTTGATGGTTCTCAACTGTTCCCACCATGCCAGCAGCTGAAACTTGCTGGAACAGAGCAGCATTGCCAGGATTTTGCACTGGTGTTGACATGGGGATATCCTGTCTCCCACTGCACCCCTGGGAGAACAAGCATCCAATGGATGAGCTGGCCTTTCCCATGTTACCTATCTCCCTAAATAATTGCTGGTTAGGGGGGCACATGCCAGCCACTCCAGCACTGGGAACAATGTCCTTGGGCAGGAAGTAGCTTCAGGTGTTTGTCACTGCTGGTACTTTGAATGTGACTTCCTAGCACTGCAGAGTGTCTCAGTTTTTCCCATCCCCAGCTAAAGGTGCAGTCCCAGGGCATTGACTCATTCTCCATATGCTGAAATGTGTTTCAAGGAGGAAGGAAGTGGAGAGCAGGGAATGCCCTGGTGTATGTAGCCCACTCCACACAAGCTTGCCTGGGTCACATCAGAAGGCTGGATTGGAGTCAGTAGACAGCTGGAGTGTTGTGTCCAGTTCTGGGCTCCCCAGTTTGAGAGACAGGGAACTACTGGAGAGAGTCCAGCAGAGCCTACAAAGATGCTGAGGGGCCTGGTGCATCTCTGCCCAGGAAAGGCTGAGATATCTGGGGCTGTTTAGCCTGGAGAGATGAAGACTGAGAGGGGATCTGATCAAGAGCTAAAGGGCCCACAGGAGGCAACGGGCTGGGGCCAGATTCTTGTCAGTGGTGCCCAGGGATAGGACAAGGGACAACAGACACAAACTGGAACCCAGGAGGTTCTGTCTGAGCACAAGGAAAATCTTTGCTGTGAGGGTGCCAGAGCCTGGAACAGGCTGCCCAGAGGGGCTGTGGAGTCTCCTTCTCTGGAGAGATCCCCAATCTGCCTGGACACAATCCTGGGCACCCTGCTGTGAGTGACCTGCTGGAGCAGGGGGTTGGATGAGGTGATCTCCAGAGATCCCTTCCAAACCCCCCCTCCCCCATGCTGGGATTGTGTGTATCTCACTTTCAAATGCACGATGCTTTAGGAGCCTGGGATACTCAGCTCTTTTTAAGAAGTGTGACTGTGTTTTTTTCTTCATCCTCAACAGTAAAAGTGTAGCAAGCGTTTTCTAGGAAAAATTATAGGTGCTTGACTTTTCAGGTGCCAGTTCTCAGCTGCTTGTGGGTGAGGTTGGTACTTAAGCATTATTAGGCAACGCTGCTCTCAGAAGGGTCTGAATCTCACTTCAGAGGGGATGCTTTTGCCTAGGTAGTAGTTCTCCACTAAGTAATAAGTTGGTAGGCATAAAAGAAATGGCAGATTCCTGATTTGAAGCAGGTGGTAGAATGAGACGCTGAGCCATGGGGTGGGGTCCGTTTCTACCTAGTTTGCCTTGTCTTTTAAATGAACAGAGTGCTGAAATGCTTTTGGTTCCTGTTAAAGATCACAGGCTTTAGCAGGAGAGAGCATGGTGAGATGGGAACAGGTGAGTGAGCACATGGAGCAAAGGGCAGCTGACTAAGAGCTGGAGTTCTGTCATCTGCGAGGGGGTGGAAGTGACAACGCTCACAGTGACGTGTCACATTTCTCAGTGGCTTTTGCTCCGACTGGACAGCCAGGACCTTGCATGTGATTTAAAACTATTTTTGTGCATTCACCTTTCCCTCTTGCCTGCAGGGGATCTCCAGCAACACCTGCAGGCCATGTTCATCCTGCTGCGCCCAGAAGACAACATCAGACTGGTAGGCTGGCTTTGTGCTTATCTGCTCTTAACAAATATAAAGGTTAAGTTCCACTTGACAAACACACCTGGGTAACTCATGAAAGCAGTGGGGGGGGTGTGGTTGGGTGGTTTCATCAGAGGGTTTGGGGAGTCTTCTTTGCAACCACAAGAGCAGAAAAGCAGCTAATGATGAAAGGCCTGCTTATTTGGTTGTTCAGTGAGACAAATTGTATGGCTAGAAGCCTGCCTTTGTCTCAACCAAATACCAAGTACTTATGCTCTCAAAAAGTGCTGTAACAATTGCCAGAGAAGCTGGGTAAATAAGCTTGGTGTCCTGTTTAAATCAAGAGTAGATGACTTATGTCTGACTAGTGTGAACACCAGCCCTTCCACATTAGTTATGTTCCTCACTCTGCTCTCTGAACTTGTTGCATCCCAGAAAGGCAACGGCTGATCAGGAAGGGGCATGTAGGATCCCCCAGCTATTGCACCTGTACTGAACCTCATCCTTCTGCTTTTCTGGTTTATTGCCTCCTAGAATGATGTAATGAAAATTAGACATTCCTGTTTATAGCATTGATATAAGACCTCCAGAAGCCAAAGAAGAGCAGCGAGGAATATGTCTAGGACACGTTGAAGTGCTCTACAAGGTCAGGCATGACTGCAGTGTATCTGCACCTCTCATCACTCAGTAGCCTGAAGTTCCTTTCCTGTGTTGTCTTGGTGCATCTTAGCAACGTATGCCCAAAGTAGGACTGCCAGCATCAGAAGTGTTATTCTGGCACCTCTGGTTTGCTGAATCCTCCTGAGCTGTGCTGGAGCTGGACTGGTCGTATGAACATAGCTAAGAAACAGCCAAGATTACTGTGGAATGCTTTAATGTTAAAAATGACTACTAAAAATAATTTGCCATGAGCAATCTTTGTAAGCATACTAAAGGACCTACTCCTAGACTTTGTCAGGCACACCTTGCTGTCACTAGAATTTCAGTGAAAGTAATGGGAATGGGGGTTCTCAGTGCTTTTCAAAATCTAAGCCAGGGTTAGAACATTGGAAGCTATTGAACAAGTCATTGTTCAGTAATATCACTGGCTACATTGTGTGATTTGGGACAAATCAGCCTTAACAGCTGAATAAGGACTTTGTGGGCTGAGACATAAACCCTTTTGTTCAGAGCTACATTTGGAATGCTGAAATCTTGCATGAGGTTAAGTTCGATAGTCTGCTTGAATTTAATTGATTCTTGACGAACGAAGGGTGTGCAGAGCTGCAATAGACTCTCATAAAATAGGAGATACAAAAGAGATTTGAAATATAAACAGTGCTGAGAGAAATGCATTCTCTTCTTGTGTTGGCTGCTGTCATTCGGAGGGCAGACTTCACAGCTCAGAGGCCAGCAGAGGAATCTAATCCTCTATAAACCTACACTTAAAATTTGGAACAACTCTTGTTTCTTTTGGAGCTATTGGCAGAGTTTTTTAGCCTTCCATGAGAGCAGGATTGGAGCAATGGTACCAGTGTAAGATCAGTAGGAAGAAGGAAAGTGAGTTAGGAGTACAAACTTATTGAATGTGTTCCTGTAGTTTAGCAGAGTGGGGACTTGTTCACTTACATGTGTTTAGTCATAAAAGAAAACTTCAGAAATGTAGGCACTTTTTTGTCTTCAAATCAAGTATCCCAATGAGAAATCTATTCTTGTATGAAACATCTACTACCACATGGCATGAAAAAGATGAAAGGTCGGTATGAACTTAGTTCTTGGAATGTGCTGTTGGTAAGGGCTGGTGAAATACCACATCAGACTTCTGATGAAACAAAAACGGAGCAGAAGATAAAGTTGGCTTGTGTTTAGGTGAGCCTAAAACTAAGAAAAATGGTCCTGGCCCTGAATGGGATGACTTATTCAGGAACAGACTATAAATAACCTTCCCAAATTGAGGAGAAAGATAGCTAGATGAGCTGTTGAGAAAGGACCTTCTACTTTGTCATAGTCCCTGAAGTTAGGCCATCCTCCCTAGCTTGGCTGGGATTTCAGATATCATTGTTTGAAAGGCATCAGACCACTTGGTGTGCTCCTGCTGTCAGGTGGGCATATGAACTATTTCTTAATGAAAAAGTTAGAGACTAATTTGTGATTTGATGGGCATCTTGGAGCTGTAATAGTAACTTTAGAGGTTGAGTGCTTTGGTTTATTAAATTTAGCAAAACACAAGCTCTGCTCCAGTCCTGGTTCTTTGCTTTGTGCTAAGGCAGTGGGTGCTGAATCTAGAGAGCCACAGTAAGCCCTGCCCTGCTTCTCTTAACTGGCCCTCTGAAAGTCCCATCCCACTGACATGAAGCTGTGTGACCTTTGGTCACTGCCTGGCCCTGTTCTAAAGGATCTGGCATTAAGACCACCCTTCCCATGACTGCTAGCCAAATTGGTTTAGCAAAGTAAGTTAGATTATGTTAATCCTCTTGCGGCTGGACTGTCCCCAAGGGAAGCAGAACAGAACTTGTGTGTGGATGCCCTGGATGCAGGGCACTTGTCCACCTGCTCCCATTTTAGGTGTCTAAGTTTCTGTTTGAGGTTTGGTTCCTAGTATAGATCATGACTTTAACCAGCAAGACCTTGGTGATTGCTTGCTCTTCTAGGTTGAAGAGCACCCTTTCTGTTTTGCTACAAGTGGTTAGTTGTAGAAACAGCCATCTTTGGCAGGATTTGCACCTTGAAGGACTGACCTCTTTGATCCTCCATGTTTCCAAAGGAATCCCAGTGACTCAAGGAGCAAGAAGGAGAATAAGGCTGGTTTTAGCATGACTTATCCTAAAGAGATGGGGTGGGGCACAGTCTCTGGCTGAACAGAGCACGTCTGTCTGCTGGCATCAGCGTTTGGGTAGTTGCTGTTAGTCTTTGGGTACTGTTGGACAAATCTATAAGAAGCAATCAACATGGTCCCCTGCCTGCACTTGCTGTTCTGGCCCATCACTAGAGCTGCTGCTCCCTGCAGTGCCACTGGGAAGCTTTCCTGCTGCTCTCAGCACAGTCTCCTCTGGCAGAGCACTCTGGTGACACAGCTCTGGCTGAGCTGCCGTGTGCTGTTTAACCTTTGTTGTAGACCCTGCCACATCTTGTAGCTGAGACTTACTGCCTAGTGGACAGGTGAGGTGTGAGGAAGTCAGAAGGGGCTTCCTCTAAGCTAATGAGGTGCCATTCTGGCATCAAGACCAAGTAAGAAGAACTAAATGAGCATATTAGGGAAAGCAGCCTACTTTTGAGAGATCCCACACAATAGTTACTTTGGGAGCTGTTTTTTTTTTAAGACTAGCCTGACTGTTTAAACTCTGAGCCATGAACTCCTGGGGGCTTGGGAGGGCTGCTGGTGTGTGAGATGTTCAGGTTCAGTTTGTGAAGGATGTCAAACACCACATTGGGTCGTGAGGAATCCCACAGGCAGGTCCCACTGCAGCAGGTGGGTGTTTATCTGCATCACAGGGTGAGGCTGGGCTCTGGTGGCTCCTTCTCACCCATGTTTGCTCTCTACAGGCCTTGCTCAAAGTTCAAGAAGCAGTTTAACAATATGGTAAACACTGAGGCCAGACAGCATCGTGGGGTTGGATTAGGCTGTCCAAAGTTAAGGTTCAGTGTACTTAAGTAAGACACTTCCTTTCTAGGGATGTCCTAGTTTCTCTAGTTGGGCTCCTGTGACTAAAATAACTGCACGTGGCTTAGGGCAGAGTCCAAAAAGTGTTAGAAGTAAAGGCTGACTACTGCAGATGTTTATAGGCAAAACTTGCAGCACTGGGCTCCTTTCCCTGGGCTCCTCACTAACCAGTGGTCTGTCCCTAAGAAGACTTGGGGGAGTCACTTCAGTTCTCACTTCCTCATGGCTTCCTGAGGAGCACTGCACATCAGTGTAGCCTTCCAGGAGCTTCAGTGTCAGTCTGACATTCACAACTTAGCTGCATGACTGCTCTCTGAATGCTGTCAGTAGCATTTGACTTGATTTGGGCAGTGTGAAGTTCAGGCATCCTCCAGTCTTGCTAGATCTCTGTTTTGGCACCAGGGTACACCTGGTTGTGGTAGGAGCAGTGAGGCACAAGGAGTTTCACCTTTCCTGGACAATCTGAATCCAGCTATGGGTGCAGCTAGGGGATAGGGAGATCTTTCCTGCCAGGTGTAACGCAGTGAGATTGCTTCTGCACTGAGGAAGCTGCCAGAAGAATTCAGAGGACCAGCAGGAAGCCACATAGGAATTAGATCCTATTTGTCTGTCCAGCTGCCTGGGAAGGTGATGGAAAGAGTCTCACTGGAGCTGTTGTAGCACACAGTAATTTAAAGGAAAGCCCTAGCTCTTTGGACAAAGCCCTCTGAGAGGTGAAGAGCATGTTCAGCATCCATCTCTCTCGCTGAGCGTGTAGTGCTTCATGAAGCTCACAAGGATGGCACCAGTTGGAGGACTGTGGCAGCCAGCCTTGTAGGCTGCTGTTTAAACACAGCCTGGGTGGGACAGAGCAGGCCTGCAGCAAGGTGTGCAGAAGGCACCAGGTATGTGCCAGCTGTTGAGGGAAGCATTGTGTGAGAGTTGAGTTGCTTCACCCTCTTCTTCTGGTTACCCAGCTGAGAAGTATGGACCAACTGTACTAGTGCAAACTGCATCACTGCTTCTGCGCCTGTCACTCAGCATGAAAAAGTAGCTTGTAAAGGTAATAGTGGGTGTTTTGGTGGCTGCACTGCTGATCTCTCCCCTTCCTTTCCTTAGGCTGTAAGACTGGAAAGTACCTACCAGAACCGCACTAGATACATGGTGGTTGTGTCCACCAACGGCAGACAAGATACCGAGGAGAGCATTGTCCTAGGAATGGATTTCTCTTCCAATGACAGGTACTCACAGTGTCCAGGTGGGGGAAGTCCATGTCACCTACATGTGGAATAGAGTGGAGAAACCACCATCTGCTGTCCACGCTTTCTGGGGATAGATTGTTTCAGATTTTCCAGCCTAACATCTTCCTTGAGATCCAGAATTCCCCTGTGTTTCTTGACAGGAGGTGGCAAATGGGAAGGCAACAGCTCAGGTCAGCATTTCCTCCATTGCACCAAGCCTCAGGCTCATGGTAGGAAGTTAAGTGCCCTTAAATATCTCTGAATGATGAGTTCCCCAAGCCCTGCATCAGCACGCCAGAGACAGGGCAAAGGAGGACGCAGCTGCAATGAGAGAAGCTGGACGCCAGGGTTCAGGAGAGCAGCTAATAAGAAAGTGGCTGTCAGGCAGGTCGTGGCACAAAGCACCTGATGGGGATGTCAGGGTTGCTGGTGACACATCTTCCACAACACGTCCTCTCCCCAGACATCAGTAGGTCACCAGGGTTTAGTGCTTTTGCTTCTTTTAAATTGCTGCTGACCCCTCCAAAAGGCTGCAGAATGAGGCTGGGGAGCAACTTTTGCTGCTGGAGTGACTGTAAGGCAGGAGGCAGTACCCCCAGCAGCTTCACAAGCAGAAGCTTCAAGTTTAGAAGGGGACACTGGGCACTTTGGAGAGGGCACAGAGGCACATGGCTCTTGTAAAGAGAGTTGTAAGTAAATCTTGGCCTATGTGGGGAAAGATTCACCTGGATATTCAAACAATTTTGGAAGGTTTCATACACATTCTTACTTCAAGCACAACTGCTACAGGAATAAGTCTTGCTTTTGACCCTATTTGGAAGCAATTATTTTCAGGTAGTGAGCAGGGTCACTAGAAAAATCTTTCTGAACTGTGTGGCTAAGAAATTGCCTTCCAAACTGAATGGAACTGCCTGCTAATGGCCACAGCCACCATGCTTAATGCCAGGTGGCTTGGTCTGGATGTTTAGCTAAGTCAAGTGATGCCTGCTAAAACGGGGGACCAGCCTGATGCTGCCCCTGGCTCCTTTCCTATGTCCACAGCTGTAGCTCAGAGATGCTCCTGTGGTAGTGTAAGAATAACTTGTCCTTGCACAGGTTACTGCCAGCTTGGAGCTCGCTATTGGCTGTGACATACCAGCACAGCCACCTTTGATAACTGAGAGCTCGCTGGTATTCAGTCTCTAATAACATAGCAGGGTCAGTTTAGCTTTCTGCTAGAGTTATGTAGGTTCTGGATGGTCACTCTGATACACCCCCCTAGCCCACTTGGTATTTATAACTCCATGTAGACTTGTTGCTATGGTCTCTGATAAGCGCTTGCTGAACAGTATCCCTAAAAATACCCCGGCTACCTTGGGAAGCCTTTTCCAATCACATCTTTCCATGAGCTCATCTCGTGTTGTCAACAGAAATAGCTGTGTGCTGCAGTGTCTCCTTGTGCTGGGCACCAGTCGCTCCAAGGCGTGTGCATCTGCAGGGCTTCGTGTCTGCTGACCCTCTGAAGCTTTGAGTCTTGTCCTCTTCCTCCACTTCTCCTGAGCTGCAGAGACCAACAGGGTGTCAGGGCTTGTGGAAATGTGAGCAGCATAAGAGCAGGAGGCAGCTGAATCCAGTTCTTCTTGGGGAGAAGGTCCTTCTTAGGGAGGTGATTCTGCCACTTTACACCTCACTGGTGAGACCTCACCTGGTGCATTGTGTCCAGCTCTGCAGTCCTCAGCACAGGAGAGACATGGACCTGTTGGAGCAGGTCCAAAGGAGGACACAAAAATGGACAAAGGGCTGGAACCCCCTTGCTGTGAGGCCAGGCTGGGAGAGTTGGGGTTGTTCAGCCTGGGGGAGAGAAGGCTCTGGGGAGACCTTACTGTAGCCTTTCAATAAAAGGGGCTGGTAAGAAAGATGAGGATTGTCTTTCTATCAGGGCCTGTTGTGACAGGACAAGGGGTGATGGTCTTAAACTGAAAGAGGGAAGTTTAAACTGGATACAAGGAAGGCCATTCCAGGTCAGGTTGGACAGGTCCTGCTCAGTGCAGGGGAGTTGGACTTAGATGATCTTTAAAGGTCTTTTCCAACACAAACCATTCTGTGATTCTTCAATATGCTGCTTTGATTATGGACCAATTTTACAGCTTTATGAGATTCAGCTCTTTGTTTGACCACTTGGTGCAGGTTGTGTTGGGGTTCCCCTAGCCCTGCCTGGAGAAAACATTGCTTGACTTCTGCTTTTAACTTGGCTTTTTGCTCAGCCTCACAGAAAGCAGGGGACTGTGAAGGCAAAGAGGCTAAAGCAGCTGAGAGGGGAGTGGGACTGCCAAGAGGTATCTCAGCTGGCTGTTGTGCTCATCCTGGAGGTGTGGGAGGGTGGAGAAGGGGCAGGAATCAACAGCAAGTGATAGGCTGTGATTGCTAACCTGCTGTGCTGCCAGTCACCCTGCTATTGCACTGGGCTGTTCCCAGTTCCCAGCTGCTGTGGCTGAGGGACAAACAAGAAAACAAAGCTGTGGATTGCGACATCAGAGCTAGACCCAAACCACTGAGCCTGAGAGGGACTAATCTGAAAAGAAGGCCTTGAGCTGACTGAAGACTGAGCCCTCTCTGACCTTCCATGCAAAGCTTGCTGCTGCTTCTGAATGCTGTTTGCTCTTCTCCTGGGTGTATGTTAACCCTTTAAGCTTGCTTGAAAGAGTGCTACTGTACCCTGTATCTGGTTGTGATCCTTGCCAGACACCTGTAGAACAACACTGGCACTGTTTGTCCCTGAAGCAACAGTGGGATTTTCCTCTTTTTTTTTTTTTTTCCTAACGAGTATAAAAATAAGCAACCATTGTTGTGAAATTGGAATAATAGCATGGTGCTGCAGTAGATGGGCTGACCTTCTCTCTTTCTTGCTACAGTAGCACTTGTACAATGGGCTTGGTGCTGCCACTGTGGAGTGACACCTTGATCCACCTGGACGGGGATGGGTGAGTGTCTTCTGTACACTGTCAATCAATAGCAGAGGGTCTCTGTGTGTGAGCTTACAGCACGGTGTATGAGGAAGGATTCAAATGATTGCAGAGCCCTAACAGGTCCAACAGACCTCTTGCTGTTGACCTGTATCGAGTTAGTAGGCTCAGAGGCCCTAAATCACAGTGACTGTGGCAGGGAGCACCAATAATTGACTTATCTGTGAATAAACACACGCTGAGACAGTGGCTCGTGTGTGTGTTTAAGCTGGAGTAAAGGAGCTTTTACTGCTGAGTGGGTGTGTAGTGAAAGCTCCTTAAAAGGATCCTATTATGTGTTCCTCCATCACGCTTTCAGCAGGCAGCATTCAGCTGAACATAAAGTAAGAATGATGTCTCTCTGCCAAACAGACACCTGACTTGCAGACTCCTGTTTGTGCTGGTTACAAAGGCTGTCGAGTGCAGTGCGTGGAATGACTTTTCTTTCCTTGGTAGCTGCCCCAGGATCACTTTAGCTGGACTCTGTTGCTCCCAGCTGTGGCACTGAATTTGTGTTGCCAAGGTAAACAGCACAGCCCAGCACTATCCCACTGTCTTAGTTTCATTCCCAAACAGCAGCTGCTTAAAGTTATCTTAGAGCTTTTAGCGTGCTATTTTGATCTGTTTGCTAGCTGAACTCAGCAGTGTATGCCTAGGGCTACTCCTTTGCTGTTCTAACGTGCTACAAACTATCAGTTATTAACTGAAAAGTTGCTTTTTAGGACACATTTTTACAGTGCCTTTTCTCCTTTCTCCAGAGGGTTCAGCGTATCGACAGATAACAGGGTGCATATTTTCAAGCCAGTGTCTGTACAGGCAATGTGGTAAGTACTTAATACAGTCTGGCCCAGTCATCCTTTTTCCAAGGTGTTTTGCCTTCTTTAGCTTTTAAAAAGCAGGTGCTGCTTTGCATTATTGGCATCTTGAGACCTGCTTGAGCAGGCAGAAATCCCCTTCAGAGACAGGGAGGGAAGTTTGATACGGTGCAAGTGCTGGGGTACAGCAGTGAGCTGATGATGCTGCTGTGGCCATGTCTTCATCTCAGTGCAGGCAGGAAGGAGTAAGGTCATTTTCCTTGCAAAGGGCTGCTGCTTTGAATCTCAACAAAGCAGAATTGCTCTGAGCATGTGTTTGGAAAATATTTTGGGGGGGGGTGTCATAAATAGGGAAATACACACTGTGCATGTTTCAGGAGTCTCCACTGAGACATGTTCATTGTGCTAGTGAGAAGGAAAGAGAAGCTGCCTACATTTTTCATTCCTTTTAGGGTGGTTCATGTAAGAATGTGTTGGCCATGAAAGTATTTCTGGCTCAAGCTGCTTTGCATTGCCAAAATACATCCCCTGTCGGGGTGTCATGCTACTGTGTCACCCCAGTGATTTTGACCTGGATCCTTCTGATCCCAGTCAAAGATTTAAAACAAGCTAAAAATAGGAGAGAGGGATTTGTTTCCCAGCAGCAGCTGAAAAAACTTCTGACATCCCTCATGCAGTGAGCTGGGGCAGACACCTAAACACCTCAGTAAAGTCAAGGCCTAAGTCCTTGGTTGTGCAACTCTCCTGATGTCCCTGCCCTGCACACAGATGAGCTGATAGCACAGCAGGAGCTGGCAGAGCACCCTGTCTTGGACACAAACTCTGTGCATCTTATTTATAGCTTTATTTATGTAGCAGTTCTTGGAGCTAGAGACCCGGATGCCTCTGCCCTCTGAATTGTGGGCACCTTCTCTGCTCTCCAGGCTTGTCTCGGCAGTCTTCAGTTAAGACCTGCAAGCTCTTGCAGCATTTGTTGTCCATACCCGTGCAGGACAACCTCCTGCTCAGTGCTGGGGGTCTGTTGCACGTTGCACTGGGGTTTGTACCAACTGATGGGGCATGAGCAGCCTCCTGGCTTTGGCTGCTGCTTTGTGCTGGATACCAGCCTGAGGAAGACGTTAGAATCCTACCAGCGTTCTCCCCCTTCTAGGTCTGCTTTGCAGAGTTTACATAAGGCTTGTGAGGTGGCACGGAGCAACAATTACTACCCAGGGAGTCTGTTCCTCACGTGGGTCAGTTACTATGAGAGCCATATCAACTCGGACCAGTCGTCAGTCAACGAGTGGAATGCCATGCAGGATGTGCAGTCCCACCGCCCCGACTCCCCCGCCCTCTTCACAGATGTGTAAGTTGCTCTGGCTCTGCTGAGCCAAAGTGTTTGGCTGGCAAGCACTGCAGTCTCTGAATGAGGAGAGAGAGTTTCCACAAGAGATTACTCTTAATTAAGTATTAATGAGGAGAGGTTTCCTGTTCCAGGTAATAAGCAGACCCCTGGTTAGGTAAACGCCAGTGCTGGAAGTTCAGCCCTCCTGGGGCTCCCTGGCATCTCCTCCAGCCTCTGCTTTCAGTCTTATTGTTTACCTTGGGCTTTAGGCTCACAGGTCTTTGCTTCTGCAAGGGAAGTCCCCTGTTAGTAGTGAGAGAGGTGTGGTGTATTCTGGTACCTGGGCCTTCCTCTTTGCTGGTTTTGTCCTCTGGTGTCTCCTGGAATGAGCAAGTTTCTCTGGACTTTGCTCTTAATGCTGGCATGTGTCTGACCACACTTTTGGAGTAATGTGGCCTTTTTTTTTTTCCTTACTCATTTCATTTTGCTGTAAAGTGAAGTGTTTATGTATGGACTTTTGAGACTGAGTTCAGGAGCATCCTCAAAGACATCCATGTGATACACCTAAGAATGGGGGCAAAGAGCAATGGAGCTTTTCTTAGTTCTGAGGAGCTCTGCAAGTGTGGAACAGGACAGTGTATGGGTCCCAAGCTGCCTCCAGCTAAACACTTGGATGTCTGGTGATACATGGTCCAAAACAGCAGCTGATATAAAGAGTCTGGAAAGGCAAAATTTATAGGCTGTATCAACATTTAAGTTTTACAACCCCTGTAATTAGTAATTGCTGGTGGTGGTGATACCATATAACCTCAAAGACAGTCTGTGTCCAGATGTGATGCCAAGTGTGAGGGCTTAGTTGCCCAGTTTGTAGTAGAAGAAATTACTTCCCTAGCCCCAGCTGCTTTCCCAGTGTAATAGTGCAATTGGTTGATTTATGCTCTCAGATATTTCCTGTTGTTTGAGTTCAACGAGTGAATAATAATGCTAAGCAGTTGTTCAGCTGTGAACAAATCTTCACACTTGATTGTTTTTTTATGTACAAAGAGGGTGGCTGAAAAGTTTTGGCAGGCTGTCAGATTAATATTCTGTTGTAGCTTTTCATACACAGACTTGACGTAACCCACCCTTTCCCTGGTGGCAGCAATTGAATTAGTTTCTCAGGACACCTAGACAGCATTCTTTTGAGTCCTGAAGTAATGCATGAGGTTAAAAGGATGAGGAACTTTGATGTTTTTTATTTGTGAACCACCAGTTGGACACTTGTAAAGCAGAGAGGTGTCTGTGCAGTCACTGTCCTGGCAGCTTTCCAGAGAACTGGAGAGGTGGGGAGAGATGGCACTGCCGGGTGCCTTCTAAAGATGTTGGGTGAGACAGCTCTGTGCTGCTCCTCTGTTGCAGCTTCCCCTGGTGTTAGGCAGGCTATTTTTGCAGCTGGTGATAAGGCCCCTGGCAGCAGAGGCTGGAGGAATGCACAGAGGCTCAGCTGCCCTCATCTCTCCATGTAAGGAGCTTTGGAGCTGTTACCTTTCCAAGAAAGGTAGGGGGAGGCTGAGATATTGCTCCAGAGAGTATAATGCAGCCTTCCCAATTTAAATTTTACCAAATACCAGAGGTTCTCTGGATGACTACAGTGGATTAGGAGCATTCAGTAGGTTTCTTTTCATATACAACTGAGAATCTGAACTGGGCTTTACAGTCACCTGAATTCCCTCCAGCTGAGGACACACTTGGGGGAAGTAATATGAGTGCCTGAGACTCTGCAGGGTATCCAGTCTATACAGTACCTGTTTAAAAAGTGCCATGAGTTCAGTTTGTTTCCCCTCAGTAACTCTGTTGCTTTCTTCTGCTAGCCCAACCGAACGGGAGCGCACGGAACGGCTGATTAAGACCAAGTTAAGGGAGATCATGATGCAGAAAGATTTGGAGAACATCACATCCAAAGAGGTGGGTGGTGAGGGAGCAGTGCCATTGTGCAAACTAGAGAGCTCTGTGAGGAAAGGGCAGAACTAAGACCTGACACGGCCTCTCTGTGGTGCTGCCCATGCAGATCCGCACGGAGCTGGAGATGCAGATGGTGTGTAACCTGCGGGAGTTCAAGGAGTTCATTGACAACGAGATGATCGTGATCCTCGGGCAGATGGACAGCCCCACCCAGATATTTGATCATGTCTTTTTGGTAAGTTTGTCAGAGAATAGAAGAGTGAACATGCCTAATGCTTCTCACTATGTCTTGGTTGACATAAGGGCCTCTGGAGGAACTTGAACTCTGGAGGAGAGGTTGGCCAGTCCTGGGATCACATACTCCTAGGCAAGACAGGACACTGGTGCTGTTGAGCAAGAGCAGCCTGGCTTCTTTGCCATACTACACCAGCCAAGCTGTAGCCCTTGTCACTAGAGGATGGAAGGGAAAATATCTTAATTCTAACTACTTTTTGGGGCTGTTTCCATGGGTGTAAGGCTAGTTTTGTAGCTTTAACCATCCAGGGTACCCACATGCCATGTCCTTGGGAATATATGTGTGTTTGAGAAAGGCATTAACTGCAGCAGAGAGGGAGAGCTGTGCCACATTCAGGTGGAATGACACACTTAGAATCAGAGAGTCCTTTAGGCTGGGAGGGACCTTCAAGATCATCAAGTCCAACCATTGAGCCATTAGGGCTCTAAAGTCCTCTACTAAAACAGGTCAGAATCTGTCAGGGTTGGAAGGAGCCACAAGGATCACCCAGTTCCCACCCCTCTGCCATGAGCAGGGACACCTCCCACTAGATCAGGCTGCCCAGAGCCTCATCCAGCCTGGCCTTAAAGACCCCCAGCTCTGAGTTCATGTGATCCAGGAGGAACAGAGGAGCTTAACAAAGAATCCTGGAGATAAGTCACTTACAGAAGCAAACATTTTGCCCTTTAATGTTCTGCTTGCTTGGTTGCCTTTCGTTGCTGCTGGGGCCTGTCTAATTCCTGCACCTCCTCCTGGTGAGTCAGCACTCTGCTGGATTTCCCAGCCCTGAAGCAATGGACACAGGTTTGTTTGGGCTCTCTAGCCTGTGTGGTTGGCTCAACTTTAAACAAAACTATTCCTCTTGGTCTGGCTGGTCTTTCCAAACGGAGAGGGCCTCTCCCAGTCTCCTGAAGCTTAGTGCTGTGGCTCAGAAGGGATGGTGTATGGGAATGTGAGTGCTCCCCAGAAATCCTGGTGGGATAGAGCCAGGAAACTTGAAGTGCCTGCAATGTAATGGACTTTTTTTTGGTAGACTATGTGCTTTTTGGAGAGACAGGCCTGTTACAGGCTTACAGTGCTAGTCAAAGGCAGTGCAAGCAGGAGTTTGCTGGGACTTATCTGATTTGTGGCCAAAGTCAGTAGATTCCCTTAAAATCCGGGCTACCATGGCTTCTAATGTTTGCCCCTTTATTCTGCTTAAAATTCAGAGTCCTATCTGCGCTGAACCCTTGAATGGTGTCCTCATTATGGTGATTTCTCTTAGGAAGTAGTTCTGTTTGGGAAGAACCAGCTGCTTCTTGTTGGTTATCTTCCTGAAGAGTCAAGGCAAGACAAGAGCCTTGTCCCCAGTAGCTCCCAGAAGAGCAGCACAGCCCTTTCCTGTGCCTGTGCGTCTGGACACAGGCTCTGAGCGCTCAGGACTTTCTGCAAGTGCTCTCATGGGTGTGCCTGTGAGTCAGAGCTCCTGGAGCTCCCCCATCTCAGACACAGGGTGCCTATGCATGTTTTCTAGGGCAAGCAGCAACCCATCCTCTGGGTGGACACTGCTGCTCAGCAAGGCTGGGAGGTTCTCGCCCTCGGGCAGGCGGTGGGGACGCTCCAAGGGCTGGCTGGCCCTGGCTGTGCCTCTCCTGGCCCTGGGGCAGTGTGGGGGCAGCCACAGCACTGCTGGTCTAGTCATGGTAGTGTTGACTGAGTCCCTATTGCTTACTCTTCATCTGAACCGTCTTTCTCTTTAGAAGCTGGTTTAGGGCAGGGAGGAGGAGCTTGTGCACCTTAAATTTTGAAGGAAACCTTTCTCAGAGCGCTCTTGTCCTCAGTCAGGGTTTATGTGTTTGAGGAGGAATCAAGCAGCTTGGAGGCCCTGTGTGTGCTAGCCAGAGTTAAATGTGTTTACTTCTCTGCTCACACAGGCTTTGAATGCAGAGAGAAGAGGTGTAACCCAAGTGAGCTTACAGTGTTACTGCCTTTGATGTGTGGGATGGGTGTTTCATATATAAAGAGCACCTGGATGGTTTTTAAATGCAGGTAGTCTCTCTTCTGTGGGTAGAGCTGGCAGCAGCCTCCAGGGAAAGGGTGGAGTGGTCTTGTCGTTGCTGAGGTTGATTTGTCAGTGGCTTGCAGGAAGTGCAGCATATGGTGCTGGGCTCCTGCTTTACAAAGCTACTTGTTGCTTCAGAATAGATCTGGTTAACAGGGCAAAATAAAGTCCTGAGCATCGGCCCTGTTACTGTTCTTCTGTGTGCCCCATTGCTCAAGACTCCCAGCTCTCCAGCAGTTGGCTGGCCAGCTTCCTCCTCCAGTTCCCTGGTGACAATCCCTCCCTCCATCAGTTGTCTGGCCATTCCTTCCTTCTGGCTGATGTGTCCCTTTGCATGTTTTCCCTGCAGGGCTCAGAATGGAATGCCTCCAATTTGGAAGACTTGCAGAACAGAGGGTAAGTAGCTTCAGGCCATCAACTTAAAAGCAGGAGCCTGGCCTCAGCACTTGTCTATGCAACAAACTCTCTTCCATACCCGTTGTGTAACCTGAATCTTACTAAAGGGTTTGCAGATCTGAACAAGCTCTTGCTTCCTACAAAGTCCACATCCCACAAACAGGCACCCTAAAGTAAAAGAATCTTGTTCCATGACCTTGACTGACATCCCCTTGGAGAACAAAGGAAGCCAGCAATCTCATAGCTATAAGTAGCAAAAAGCTACAATGACTTAACTGGGTGCTGTGTAGTTGGCTCTGAGCCTTCTGCTCCAGCCCGTGGTTCTGGACTGAGGTCTCAGGATCACAGAGGCGCTTTGGAGTCTCCAGGCTGCAACAGGAAGGAAAACATGTAAAAGAGCATTTGTTCCTTTGAGTGGGGCCCAGTAGGAATTCAAGTCCTGTAGCTCTTGGGCTTAGCACTGATGGATTCCTCTATCTCCTACCCTTTCTGCCTTTTCAGGCTTATATTTAATGTCCTTTCTCTAGGCCAGGTGGATCTAAGCACCAAGATTTTGCGATTAAATCCTTATTTATGGCTTTGGCTTATTTGTGCCAACCCAGTGGAAAAAAAAACTCATTGCTCTGCTGAATTGAATTGACAGCTCACTTCTGTACCTCCAGGAATCAGCCTGGCAAAACCAACTGTCCTCATTCAGCTCAGGGTCTGCTGCAGTTTCCGTGGGTCAGACAGATCCTGCTTGGCTGCCAGCAATCTCATACCTGCTAGGGAAAGGATGTCACTCCCTTGCAGTGCTCTTGTTCTGTCTGATACCCCAGCATGAGCACAGCTCATAAGCATCTTATGAGTAACCCTCAGGGCTAAAAATACTAGATGTAGTGTACATAAATACCATATGCTTTCTCTAGCAGTTTCCTTTCCAGAAAATTTAGGGATAAGAAATAAATCCTCCCCAGTGGCTGATTGTTACATCTCCCTGTAGTTATTTTGTGCATTTGTTTAACTGTGGTGTTGTTCACAGGCTTATGCCTTCAGTCTTCCTGTGATGTTGGTGCAGCAGGAGGGAAGTTTCACAAAGGGGCTTTGAGAAAGGGTCCAAACATTCCCTGATGGTGCAGGAGCTCTGGTGACACAAGTATGGCTACCACTTAGAACAGAGAGATGATGGGCAAGCAGCATAACCTGACGAACTGTAGAGATGAAGTTTCTAGTGTGGATTGAAGCCCTTTTGTCCTAGGCTAGGCTCTAAACTGCTCGGCAATACCTTTCATCTGTGTTAGCCTACTACTTCCTTGCATCAAGTCCTAGTTTCCAGGGAGTTGTATGTTCAGGGCTGCAACTTCAAATGCTTTGAGTTTTGCCACTCACAAGGCAAGGCTGCTGTGTAGCAGCTGTGGTGTCTCTCTGAACTTGCTGTGTGCTACAGCCTCTGCATTTTCCTCTGCTCTGTGTCCACGCAGGGTACGGTACATCCTGAATGTGACTCGAGAAATAGATAACTTCTTCCCTGGGCTCTTCGAGTATCACAACATTCGGGTATACGATGAAGAAGCAACAGATCTTCTGGCTTACTGGAATGACACCTACAAATTCATCTCCAAGGCAAAGTAAGTCTTTTTAGAGCAGAACAAACACATTTAGAAGATGTATACTAAACATTTTATATTTTCCTACTGATTTTCTTAACTGCTTTTCCTCCTTGTCTACCTAGGATCAAAGCATTTTTGTTTTGTGGTTTGTCTAAGAGTTGCCTTCCACAAATTTTCATTTTTGCAGGTGGTTGTACAAGGAGCAGGTAGGGCTAGTGAGGGGTGTTTGCCCAGTTGCAGTCCAGGCACACAGTGAAAGAGAGCATTCCTGTACTGGAGAGCTAAGTTTACCTGCTTCTTAGGGGATGCAGTGAATCTGCAGAGGTGCTGGTGGGAGGAAAGGGCAGGAACAAATTGAGCAGGGCTTAATAAAAGTAAGAAGCAAAACCTTATAAGCTAAATGCCAACATAAGCTGTTCCCTGCACTGGGAGGTTGTACAATGGAACCCACAGTCTGGAACTGATTTCTTGTAGTGTAATGCTCCAAAGCAAACTCTTCCCATTAACAGGAGTAAATGCCTGTGTAGGTCTCTGAGCTGTCAGTCACAGTGGATCCACATCTGATAGTGGATGCTGAAAGTAGGGCCTTTTTACTGGAAAGAAGTGCATCCCAGTTATATGAGCTGTCTCCAGTTAATTCAACAACCTTCTTGAGGGAAAACTGGCCAGAAGGCAGACTGGTATATGTTGCCTTTAAAGTATTATTTCCATTATATAAGTCTGTCATCTCTTAATCATAGCTGGTGCTAGCAGTTTCTCATAGCCTTTAAAAAGCTGACTTGTTTGAATATGGCTCAAGACTTATTTAAGGTGGTTTCTTTAAAAGAGATCATTGTTTTCCCTTAAGAATTGATTTTGAATTGTTATCCTCAGAAGTATTCTCTCGCCCAGAATATTTTTCATTGGTATGTGTATGAGGTGATGTAAGTTACTAATCTTCCAAATTGGGGCAATTATTGTACCCCCTTCTCCACCCTGTCTGCTTGTTGTGTTTGGGGGTGTTTTTAATCACCAAAAGCATTTCAATGTTTTGACTAACTTGTTTAGCAAAGCTGAGAAAGTCTTAGAGCAGTCTAAAGGCTGCTGTAGCCCAGGATACCCCAAACAGAGCAGACATCTCTTGGAGCATCTGGGCAGTGTGGATCCAGGTATGGGCCCGGGCAGCTGCAAGCAGCTGAGCCCTGAGCTTGTCGAAGCACATGACTCTGTATGCTCTGCAGCCTCGTGGTTTCTCCTGTGGGAGCTTCAGATGGTTGGCAATCCAGAATACCTAGTGCTTGAAGGAGAGCATTAAAGGTGCCAAACCCCAGTTCTCTCAGCCTGCTCCGTGCCAGTGCTGCCCAGCACACAGGGTTCACAGAGAAGGGCTGTAGTCTTCCTCCTCGTATTTCACAGCAGACAAATGTTTTTTAATTCCTTGGAGCAGAGTGCTGGCTGCCCTGTCAGGCTCTTCACCAGCCTCACCAAGCAGAGTAGCTGCTCATTGTGCTCCAAGGCACTGTTTGCTTTGCCTTCAATGAGAAAAAAAGAATTAAAGCCAAAGGAGGATTGCAGCAGAGCACTGCACTGCAGCCAGCATTTGAGGTCTCTGCCTCCAGCCATGGGGAGGGTCTGTCCCCCTCACTTGCTTTTGGGCAGGTACCAAGGTAAAGGACTGTTACAAACAGAGCAGGGGGTGAGCTTTCCACCTATAGACGTTCCTAAGAAATGGTGCTATGAAGAATAATCTGCCAGGTTGGTCCCTGGAGCTTTTTGCCGGATTTGGACCTACCAGTGTCTCAAGAGATGTGGATGGGAGCTAGGTGGGTGTCAGACTCCTGACTAAAGCAGTGTTGGCCTTGTTCAGCCAATTGCCATACTCAGTAATATGCTGCCAAAAGTTTGCAGTAGAGGAACATTTCTGTGCTAGAGGCTGCCCTGGACTCCTCAGTGTCTTCCAACAATGTATTTCTAAATTGTGATGCCACGTTTCTATGTTTTATGCCCTTTTTATTTGGAATACTGCTTGCTACCAGTAGGCCATTTGGGCTTAGTTCAAGGATGATATTTTAATCTTTAACAGTGTTCCTAAATCTACAAAGAACTGATATTTGTCTGCTCTGTGATAAAAGCTTCAGAAGAGCTGTTGTAACAAAATCTGTTAAGAGTATTAAGATCTTGTTCTTCACTTTCTGTGTCTTGCTCCAGTTTGTAAATTGGATTATCAGATCACATCCCAGACTTCAACTGTGGCCACAGTGTTGAAAATGTGTTTGATAATACTCTGGTAAATAAGTTCCTATTTTCTTAAGCTTCTCAGGGGCCACGTTTTCTATTTAATGATCCTCTTTTGTCCGTCTCCAACTTCAGGAAGAATGGTTCCAAGTGCCTGGTGCACTGCAAGATGGGGGTGAGCCGCTCGGCCTCCACGGTGATCGCCTACGCCATGAAGGAGTACGGCTGGAACCTGGACAGGGCCTACGACTACGTCAAGGAGCGCCGCACCGTCACCAAGCCCAACCCCAGCTTCATGCGGCAGCTGGAGGAGTACCAAGGGATCCTGCTGGCCAGGTGAGGGAGAGGAATGATCCTCGTTACCCACGTGAGGGCATAGTGCTTAAATGGACTCTGTTATTTGAACTAGAACTCACATCACAGCGTTACGTTGGCTCCTGATTGTCTTGAGAAAGCTCGCGCTCTGTTTTCGTGGGTTGTCCCAGCTGAGCCTGGGAAAGTGGCTGTAATAAAGAGCTTTTAGGAAGCTGTTAGGCTTCTAGGATGGCTCTTTTTTTTGGGGAGCAGCATCCCGTGAACTGCCATCCAAATGCAGCGTTCAGAGCTGTGCAGACTCCAGCAGGGATAAGTGATGTCCCTGTTGCTTGTAACATCGCTTGGCAGGGAACTCGCTTTCTCTCAGCCTTACAGTTCCCTGCTGCACATGC